GTAAGCATACAAATACGAAAAAGAAGAAAAAAATACCAGAAAATAACCTCTAAACACACCTTGCCCCTGCTTTGCTCATACGACGTTTCCTAGGGTAGCTGTTTTACATGTTCTTCTTTACAGTAGCATTAACTGTCACTAGATGTCTATAGTGAGTGTTCCACTTTCAAACCCGATTTTTTTAGAAAAATATAGGTAAACGTCAGTAAATTCAAGGGTATTTTCCCCAAGACTCATTTTCTTAGAAATATATTTATAGAAGCTCCTGTTAGTCCGAAAATTATGAAAATATCTCCAAAGAAGACGAAAATTTAGTCAGAGAATTTATACATTTATTACCTAAGGCTGTTTCCAGAGTATGTGCGTTTTCTTGGTGTGAAAACGTACATCTTTAAATCTGATCAGACGCAACAACAACAACTATCGATTATGTTTAAAGTGATTACTAGCAATGAAGAAAACTATAGACCTATTCTACTTGTAGCCAATTATTTAATTAATTTAAAATAATAAAAATATTCTAATCAAAAACTTCTATATATATGTATAAATATTTAGACCGAGAAGCATACAAAATAATAGTACATAATAGGTGAGTGTCGCCACATTCGATTGGAACATTAAATATAATTGGTAGGACAATAGATTAGTTTGTTTTGAATTTCGCGCAAAGTTACACGAAGGCTATCTGCGATAGACGTCCCAAATTTAGCAGTGAAAGACTAAAAGAAATGCAGCTAATCATCACCACCCACCGTCAACCGGCTGATTGGGAGAGCATGTTTAGTGGGACGGGGATTCGAACCCGCGACCCTCATTTTGCGAGTCAAACGGTATAACCGCCTGGCCATGCCGGACCAACACTATGGAAGAGACAACTGTTGCAGAGTGTGGTGACTGTGTGAGTGTATAAAGTCGTCATCTAGACTGACAGATGTGGAAGTCGCTGGTGTGTTTGTTTGTTTTGAATTTCGCGCAAAGCAAAGTAAGACTAGAGGGAAGGCAGCTAGTCATCACTATCCATCGCCAACTCTTGGGCTACTATTTTACCAACGAATAGTGGGATTGATCGCAACATTATAATGCCCCCACAGCTGAAAGGGCGAGCATGTTTGGTGAGACGTGAATTCGAACCCGCGATCCTCAGATTGCGAGTCGAGTGCCCTAACCACCTGGCCATGCCGGACCGGAAGTCGCTGGAATCTGTTTAAAAAATGCAGTAAATATGACATTGAAAAAACCAATGTTTCAGATTGTAAGAAAAACAAAGGCAATGACGCTTGAAATATATCCTTTCTCGGAAGAACAAGTTGTACTGCATACATCGACCTAGCGAGTCGGAAGGTCAGTAACAATCCAAAATATTGATCAATATTTCTAAATACCGCTTCCTAAAATATCTTTTATGAGCAAAGCCAGGAATTGAAGCTTTAAGATTCAGTCATTCTTGAATAATAGATAATAAAATGGCTGGAGAAGAAAATATCCAATGTGAACCGTTTTTCATCGTTCTAAAAATAAAATAAATAACGTACAGAGACTTGGTAGAATAAAGATATTATTTAAGGTAACAATGTAGACAATTCCAGTTCAGGATTTTTTTTAATATTCCGATGCTTTGAAAGACTTAATGAAAATGAAATGATGGGTAAAATATGATGATATTAATTAAATCATACAGGAGTTTCTGGTATGAATATGCATAACCCTGTATTTGAAATTACCAAGGCAGATTGGCGTATACACAAAATTCAGTAAATGTGAAAGTGTTTGGTTCTAAACAGGCTTAGCGATAAGTGTTATGGCTCAGAGACAAATGAAACATCGGTTAAGTGTTGAAGGTGTGAATAGGAGATGCTTGAAAATGTGGCAAATCAGTGTCATGTCGCTCAATTTTTGAATGAATACTAAGGTCTGGATTCCCGCATGTGGAGTTAATACCAATCCATTGACATGGGCAGAAGACAACATGTTATGGGTGGAATTGCAGAAGGGTTTCAATCTCTCTGGAAAATCACCATATTCAGATTGGTGACCTACCGCAAACGTTATCCAATAGAGAAATTACCTTCAATATATATTAGGGGTTAGAATGTCTGCATAGATTGTTTGCAGAGGGCTTTATTAGGCTGGTCTGTGGTCGAGAGTCAAAAAGGGTCTTGTATTTCTGACCCTCTGATACATTCACGAGCATTTGAGGTGTGCTAGGAATTACATCAGATGGAACATCAGTGATTAGAAACCAGTCTTCTTCACTAAAAAATCCAAATTTTGTCTTCAGTGCACTGACATGCATTTCAGGATCTGAGACACCTAATGAGCTTTTCCTGACGCAGCATGTTGTATAACCCAACGTATATCGAGAACGAGCTTTCATTAATGTTAACTTCTCATCAAAGCTCGGTTATTCAATAAACGGCAAAGTATTATATTTTCAATTATGCTCATTACTAGTTATTTATATAGAGTTTTGATCCTGTATGTGATTTTATTGTTAATCTACAGTTTAAGCAGTGTAAAATGTAAGATAGCCGTGAGAAACTTCATAAAAGTTATTAATGAGACTTTGGTAACAACGAAAACTGCACCACGTCAAAAAAGTTTTGTGAAACTTCTAAGTCCTGAACACATTCATGGTGTATGTGTGTGTGTGTGCCGAAATCAGCATAAAGGGGAGAATGGACCCCCATTAACCAGAAAGCACTTTCACTGCAGTTAGGTACGTTGATAACAACCTCCATTTTGATGCAGTTGAGCCAAGCCTAATTTAAGTGCAGCCAATGCCCGCCAAAATCATCACTGTTTATCATGAACAGAAAGCAATATAGAGGATGAAGTTGCTAGCGTTATCTCCTGATCTTAACCCTACTGCTCATGCTTAGGACGTGCTACAAAGGTCCATAGCTACAGCCATCCTGCGCAATCCAGGACTCTACAGGAGTTTCGATACTGTCTATGCAAATGTTAGGCCAGGTTCCACAGTAGTTTAATTAGTGTGATGTTATTAGCGTTTCGTTGTATTTCGTAGAAGACATATACAGTATTTTGCAAACATACAGGGAATGATAATTTTAAAATATGTTTATGATTTATAAATTTCTACAGAACATTTATGTGGTGGGTCACTGTTCGTTGTTATAAGGGTCTCATTAGTGACTTTTTCTTAGCTTTCTCCTTGCTATGCATCATTTTTCACAGGATAAACTGTATATTAACACAATCAATCATTCAGAAAATAGTAAAGTGCGAAACCTTTATTAGACATAGTGATCCTTAACAAAAGATGGACTCTACGCGGTGGCTCAGCGGA